GGCAGTAAATAGCACAATACACAACACACAATAACAGATGTTTTTCACATGATCTCTATAGCCAAAATATTGTTATTGTTGTAAAGATAATGGGATGAATCCTTTCCCATGAGAATGAAAATCCTGACAATTATTTCACCAACACGTAAATGAATGTGAGAAAGGAGGTTTACCATACGTTTGCTGATTTAGAGAAAGCATACAATAACGCTAATAAGGTTGGGTTTTGAAATGTTGCACAAATATGCAGCTGAAAGTTGAACGTCAAATGCAGTGAGAGCCGTGTACGATGGAACTACTGCAAGCTTCGGAAGACTTAGCAAATGGTTGGACATTGAGCTGGGAGAAGGTAAACTTGCGTATGTCCTGTTGATTGTTTATTGTATTTACGGATAAATGTATAAAGGATGCTTCTGGTGACGTGAGAGATGTGCTGGTTATGGTGTGTGGCACGCGGATGATGTTATGTTGTTGGCTCACAACCTGAACATCTTGTGATGAGTATTAGACAGGCTGTATGATACAGCAAGGAATACGGATCTGAAAATTAATACACAAAGACCAAGGTAGCCAAGTCTGATGGTTAGAATGGAGTGAATGATAGCTAGTTAGAGGCAGTCTCCAGGTTACCTGCCCTGACTTACATAAGCCAGACCTTACATCTTCATGTGAATGTAATGCATGATCTAACACAGAGAAGAATTGGTTTATGCACGGGCTCCGGGAATACAACCCTTCATAACACGGGAAGCACTTGTATACATAAATGGAGAAATGGAGAAAGAGCAAGTAGGTACATTTGTGCTCTTTGATAAACTATTCTCTAAAGACACAAACATGGAATTAGACATTTCAAGACCTCAGTGGTCCTCATTTGCCGACTGCCTCATTTAGCAACCATTCACAGTTACAACAGTGATGAAAAAGTAACTTTGCAACCAATCCTCGCATTTATGACCTTCACAGGTCTGTAAAGCAAAAGAAAGCTGAAGTAAGATCGTAAGCACCATCACTTAGCAACCACTTGCTTAGCAACCAAGTTGCCGGCCCCAATTGTGGTTGCTGAATGAGGACTCCCTGTATAAACATGGGTAGAAAAGTAGAGGGTGGTAAATCTGTTCCTAGGAAGGAATGTTTGCAAAAGAAGTGAAAATGAAGGTGGCTAATAGGAATGTGCTTCTGCCGGCTTTTGTTAAAAGAAGGTGAGAACTGGGTAGGTCAGGAGAAGCATAAAAGTGAGTTGAATGTTAAAGAAAAAAGGAACATATTTTTAAAAAGTGAATTGAATGTGGTGGAACAAAACACTATCCGTTAATCTGGAAGCAAGGACAGTTTGGAAGGATAGAAAGATATAAGATACAGTGAGTGGAGTCAGATTTCCTCTTTTTTCTCTCTCCCTTATCTCCTGTTTTTAATTTCCTTTACTCTCTAATACTTACTCCTTTTCTACACTTGGCATAACATTGCCTGCATTGCTTCTAGGGGATTAAACTGTGTAAAAATGCAGATCTGAACACCATAAAGAAGCTGAGAAATAATCTTAGAAAAATCTTGCAAACAGCAGGAATAAAATGCACCCCCTTTGAATGGAAGTCTCTTAAGAGAGCTGTGGAGCTACGTGGGGCAACATCCGCCCGAGAGAAATGTGCGCTCCAAGATAAGGAAGCCTGGAACGATACCCTGAAATATTTATAAGTATGCATACATATGAATTGAGCATGAAACTGAACAAACTCAGGGAGGCAGTAAAGGACAGGAAGGCCTGGCACGATATGGTTCATGGGGTCACGAAGAGTCGGACACGACTTAACGACTGAACAACAACAACAACAAAACAGGAAGGCCTGGCACGATATGGTTCATGGGGTCACGAAGAGTCGGACACGACTTAACGACTGAACAACAACAACAACAAAACAGGAAGGCCTGGCACGATATGGTTCATGGGGTCACGAAGAGTCGGACACGACTTAACGACTGAACAACAACAACAACAAAACAGATATGAATATGCATATATGTATACATTTACTGTTTGTTCTATGACTGTGCATTTTAATAAACTAAACCAAACTGCATATATTTAATCAAACAGTGAAGAAAAATATGTTGTCTTTGATAAAACTTTCTTCTGTTGGCAAGCATACTCTGCGAGATTATGGCTATTTCAGCAGGCTGGATCTGGAGCAAGAGAAATAGCTTGACCTACAATGACAACTGGCAAGATTGAATTGCCCGTGGGCTCAACTTGAACCTGGGGCCTTTGGGGTGTGTTCTATTACAGCTCCCCACATTCCATCCAGACTGGATGATGGGAGTTGTAGTGTAAAACATGCAGAAGGTGGTAGCTTGGTGTAGGAAATAGAGCATGCATGCCAGAAACCCAACTGCAAACTCAAGATGCGTAATACACATCCCCAACGTTGAGATATGACTCTTTATCATATACATGCAGTCTGATACCACAACCTCTCCCACTGCTGGTAATAGAAAAAGGTCTGGTCTTTTAAAAACAAAGGGTAGACTCTGAAAAAGTCAGTGGAAAAGAATCTGGATCTTCTCAAGAACCTCTAATGGGCAGTTGGGAGCTCTCCAGAAGCTGGAAAACTCCAACTAATTGAAGTAGAAGAAGCTTTGCCTCAAGGGTCTTCTAGGTAAGTAGCAAACAAATAAAATCTATGGCTGCGAATTTGAACTCGGTTTTTTATTTATTTATTTTTTTCTGGGTTGGGCCAAGTCTCATAACGTCCAACTTTCTGTACAAGTTAGAAGATTGGGCGTTCCGTCTCAGCAATCTACTGTTCTTAGAGAAAGCAGCTGAGGACAGGTAGGACTGGAAAAAATGGGAACTGGTTGAAATAACGAAATCTTTGATAAGGCAACAAAATTGTGCTGTTTTCCTTAAAGAGTAGCTGTTATTTTCCTATCCTGGCATATCTGCTGTTGTCTCTTGATTAGCCTCTATATTTTTAAACAAATATCTCTTGGCTAGCAAAGAAATAGAAAATCCTCATGGGATGGCAGAGAAGGGTCTAGATCTGTTAATCAATCAGCCAAAACCGATGTTAAAATATTCTCTAAGAACTGCCATGAAATTGCATAGCTTTTGTGGATCCTGCGAACTTTGTATTTATTTTAGCTATTGTTAAGCTGTTCTTCTGTAAAAAAAAATCCAGAACAGCTAAAAGTAGAGTTGTCCTTGTGTGTTTGAGCCTGTTAAGGCACACACATCCTCTTAATATTTTATAATATTTTATTTACGAATATACCAGTTAAACATAAGGAAGTGTAGCAACTTAAAAAATTCAGTAGAGAGAATAGCTAGTACTCAAAGCTGGAAGTATAAAAGAGAAAGCATGAAATGGCTTCCCTCTGAGTAAGCATTCAACCGATTGCCCTGCTGTTCCCTTCCTCTCTCCCACCAAAAGGATTTCCTCCTATTCAAGTGAATAAATTTCCTGATTCCTACTCAGGAATGGTGGAACAAGCCTACCTTCTCATGTATTTCTGAGCCATTAAAGGAAGGGCAAAAAATGTGAAGTTGCAACTTATATCCGTAGGAGATCAGAACACCACAAAAGGTCATAAATGGGACAGCAGAGCATTTGCAGTATCAGAACTTTGGGGACACCCCAAGTCTTTCCTCTCTTTATGGCCAGGTTGGCCTTGGCAATTCCAACTCCACAAAGTTGAAAGAAGAAGGAACACAGTTCCTCAGCCAGAAAAAGAAGATGAGTACAGCTACTGATCTTAGGAGAAACCATGTTCCAGCATAAAAAGGTTCCATAATTTCTACTCCAGATTATTAAATGACCAGTTTACTAAGCGACAAAATGTGTCAAAGCAGAGCAGATTATGGATTTTCCATTACATTATAATATGGATATATGGCAATTGATGCCTTTTCTCTCTCATTTCTCTCCCTTTCTTTTATTTATTAGGTTAAATTAAAAGGAATACTGAATAGGAAGAATAGCACGAGCATTAACAATGTTCACCTGTGGGAAACAGGTTAACTCAGCATGTAGATTTATATTTCTTTTCTCCATTTTTTTGGTGACCTATTACTGGAGGAAAAGTGTCCTGCAAGATAAGGTGATTGTGAAGACGTGGCAGGAACAACAAGACAATCATCCTTGTAAAGGCCAAGGGTATTTAACTAACACCACAATCACTCCACTCAAAGATAAAAACAGCTTTATCATAGCCCCCTATTTTGACAGAAGGGATGGAAATTTCATCCGTATTCTGAGTATTGTTCACCATAAAAAAGTCAAGGAACTTTACTGCATCTTTTGCTGTCAAAATAGCAATACTAGTTGTACAGTGAAAGCAAAGATAGACATCCACTCAGACCGATTTGGATTCCCATATGGAACAACAGATTTGCTTTGCCTTAAGCCACAAGACTGTTACTCCCAGTTCATCTCTGTTCACCCCTCCGTGGATCCAGAGGCTACCCAGCTGCCATTATTTCCAGTCCAAAACCTCCACTCAGAGAGCCCCTCCCTGGAGTTCACTGTGTGCATTTCTACCATGTTTGGAAAATACAATAACGTCTTGCAGTTTGTACAGACCATAGAGATGTATAAAATCCTGGGGGCACAAAAGGTGATGATTTATAAGAACAGTTGCAGCCCACTCATGGAGAAAGTCTTGGACTATTATATCTCTGAAGGCACTGTTGAAATCATTCCTTGGCCGATCCATTTGTACCTGAAAGTTTCATCTTACTGGCATCACTCGATGGGTGGCAAAGATATTGGCTACTATGGGCAAATTGCAGCCTTGAATGACTGCATTTACCGTAACATG